TAAAAAAGCCTTCACAGTTCTGGAACAACATCCTATGGACAGAGGAGACCGACATCAACTTGTACCAGAGTGATGGGAAGAGAAGAGTATGGAGAAGGAACTGCTCATGATCCTAAGATACCACCTCATCAGTGATCATGGTGGTGGTAGTGTCATGGCGTGGGCATGTATGGCTGCCAATGGAACTGCTTCTCTTGTATTTATTGATGATGTGACTGCTGACAGAAGCAGCCGGATGAATTCTGAAGTGTTTCGGGAATATTATCGGCTCATATTCAGCCAAATGCTTCACAACTCATTGGACGCTTCACAGTGCAGATGGACAATGACCCAAAGCATACTGCAAAAGACACCAAAGAGGTTTTTTAAGGGAAAGAAGTGGAATGTTCTGCAATGGCCAAGTCCATCACCTGACCTGAATCCGATTGAGCATTTCACTTGCTGAAGACAAAACTGAAGGGAAAATGCCCCAAGAACAAGCAGGAACTGAAGACAGTTGCAGTAGAGGCCTGGCAGAGCATCACCAGGGATGAAACCCAGCGTCTGGGGATGTCTATGCGTTCCACACTTCAGGCTGTAATTGACTGCAAAGGATTTGCAACCAAGTATTAAAAAGTGAAAGTTTGATTTATGATTATTATTCTGTCCCATTACTTTTGGTCCCTTAATGGGCACATATGCAAACTGTTGTAATTCCTACACCGTTCACCTGATTTGGATGTAAATACCCTCAAATTAAAGCTGACAGTCTGCAGTTAAAGCACATCTTGTTTGTTTCATTTCAAATCCAATGTGGTGGTGTATAGAGCCAAAAATGTTAGAATTGTGTCCATGTCCCAATATTTATGGACCTGACTTTAGTTAGCTCATGATGGAAAGTTACAAAGTTGCAGTTTTGAAACTCGCTCCCCCCCTCCCTTTTTAATCCTGTTCTGTACTCTATATAACCCACGTAATGTCTACTAAACCTCGAACATCTCTGAACATAAGCTGCCATTATTCCCTGTTCATAGAGTGTTCCCAGAATTCTGCTGATAACCAGGAATCTCTTCTTCACAGATTGGGGGTCTATGAGGGAATAAAGAAAATCAATCCTTTCACAAGCATGACTTCCAAAGGCAGAGGCTCGATGGGACTTGTAGTTTCTCAACAACTGGGAGGACCACCAGTTTGACACCCCTGATCTAGGCTCACACCAATGCATTTTCCCTTGCGTTTTATAGAAATGCACAGCAGTCTATTTAACATGATTGCGTGTTTGGTTGTATAGACTTCAATGAAGATGCTGCAGAAAAGCATACAGTGCTTTTTTTATGTGTTTTTGACGTGTGTGTTGTATACATTTTTGATGCATTTTGCATTTTAGTCTGGTGAAAAAAGCGCAAAATGCACCAAAAAGGCATGTGCAAAAAGCACTTCAGAAACGGATCAAATGTAAGCTAGGTGTGAACCTGGCCTTAACTATTGATTTTCTCTTTTTTTTTCTCTACTTTTACCATTATTATTTATTTATTTTTGTTGACATCTGTGACAAGAGTGACTTTGGGTGGGGGGCCCATGGAACACAGCCCCCTTTGGAGAGGTGGGGAGACCCCTGTCTCAGCTCCCCATATCCCTCTTATGTGTAAGTCACCCTGTGCCTGTTAGGGGTGCAGGGTGGAATGTCCTGATATTGTGTAGACATGTATAGGAGATAGGTGGGTGGGGGATGTGGATTGTTTAATGCCATGTGGTGCATCCCATTGTTCTATTGCGTGTCTTGCTTGGGAGCAAACTATTATGGGATGTATGTGTTTGTGTATTGGCTTGGTGGGGGGTGTCTGCTGATGTGTCTCTGTTGCTAGATTTGGTTTGCCCCGCCCTGTGTCCTTATGCAGGGAGGGGAGTTGTTCCCTTGAATGTATATATCTGTGTGTCTCTTTTCCTAGTTTTGTTCAAGAGTGGTGTCCGTGGATCTGTGTTTGGACAGGGAAGCGGGAGTCTAACGGTAATACCCTCGTGCAGTCCGGGTCCAGTTCCGTTACAATATCCGTTGTGTTTCCTACTTTTTTCAGTGGCGCATAATAAAAAATGTAAACATTTTTGGCTCTATACACCACCACAATGGATTTGAAATGAAACGAACAAGATGTGCTTTAACTGCAGACTGTCAGCTTTAATTTGAGGGTATTTACATCCAAATCAGGTGAACGGTGTAGGAATTACAACAGTTTGCATATGTGCCTCCCATTTGTTAAGGGACCAAAAGTAATGGGACAGAATAATAATCATAAATCAAACTTTCACTTTTTAATACTTGGTTGCGAATCCTTTGCAGTCAATTACAGCCTGAAGTGTGGAACGCATAGACATCACCAGACGCTGGGTTTCATCCCTGGTGATGCTCTGCCAGGCCTCTACTGCAACTGTCTTCAGTTCCTGCTTGTTCTTGGGGCATTTTCCCTTCAGTTTTGTCTTCAGCAAGTGAAATGCTCAATCGGATTCAGGTCAGGTGATTGACTTGGCCATTGCAGAACTTTCCACTTCTTTCCCTTAAACTCTTTGGTGTCTTTTGCAGTCTGCTTTGGGTCATTGTCCATCTGCACTGTGAAGCGTCCAATGAGTTGTGAAGCATTTGGCTGAATATGAGCAGATAATATTCCCGAAACACTTCAGAATTCATCCGGCTGCTTCTGTCAGCAGTCACATCATCAATAAATACAAGAGAACCAGTTCCATTGGCAGCCATACATGCCCACGCCATGACACTACCACCACCATGCTTCACTGATGAGGTGGTATGCTTAGGACCATGAGCAGTTCCTTCTCCATACTCTTCTCTTCCCATCACTCTGGTACAAGTTGATGTCGGTCTCATCTGTCCATAGGATGTTCCAGAGATCCGGAGGTCCCCTTAAGGTTGGTATAATTATCAGCCAGATTCCAAGAGCTCCGTCCCTCTGGTGGTAATAAATGAGCACTACAGGAATCCTGCAAATGGATTTAGCTCCCAATGGGAACCAAAAAACAAGTGCCCATAGTGTAGTATTTTAAAAAAGAGATTTATTGAATAAAATGACAAGCAGGGTAGTAAGGCTGTGTACAGTACATATATGAAAGCAGAGTACGCAGCAATGATACTGACCCTGAGTTAAAATGGCCGCGGGGCTGTCTCGTGGCTCCGGGCAAAAGATGACGTCATGCTCTGTCGGTTCCTCCTAAGGCCTTTCGTGCCCAAGCACATCATCAGAGGGGATACCAGGGTCATTTTATTCAATAAATCTCTTTTTTTAAAATACTACACTATGGGCACTTGTTTTTTGGTTCCCATTGGGAGCTAAATCCATTTGCAGGATTCCTGTAGTGCTCATTTATTACCACCAGAGGGACGGAGCTCTTGGAATCTGGCTGATAATTATACCAACCTTAAGGGGACCTCCGGATCTCTGATACATCTTCCCAGGCTGATTGATCCAAAGATTGGAATTCACCCTCTCCATCTACTTTAGGATTCCTGGAGACATTTATTTACGCGCATTTTCCGTGCGCGTCCGGTGAGTGCGCACTCTTTCCATTGCTTCCTGGTCTTCATCAGTTATTTCTTGGGACTATATATTTATATCCAGTTAACAACTACGGACTATTTGCCTTTTGTACTTATCTTTTAGCGCTGCACTCTGTTATTACTATTCCGCTTTTTATGGGTATACTGTGATTACCTTTAGTGCTAGCTACTTGGTTAAGAGCGCTCACTTTATTACATTCTTATCCGTGTCCATAGGATGTTGTTCCAGAACTGTGAAGGCTTTTTTTACATGTCGTTTGGCAAACTCTAATCTGGCCTTCCTGTTTTTGAGGCTCACCAATGGTTTACATCTTGTGGTGAACCCTCTGTAGTCACTCTGGTGAAGTCTTCTCTTGATTGGTGACTTTGACACACATACACCTACCTCCTGGAGAGTGTTCTTGATCTGGCCAACTGTTGTGAAGGGTGTTTTCTTCACCAGGGAAAGAATTCTTCGCTCATCCACCACAGTTGTTTTCCGTGGTCTTCCGGGTCTTTTGGTGTTGCTGAACTCACCGGTGCGTTCCTTCTTTTTAAGAATGTTCCAAACAGTTGTTTTGGCCACGCCTAATGTTTTTGCTATCTCTCTGATGGGTTTGTTTTGTGTTTTCAGCCTAATGATGGCTTCACTGATAGTGACAGCTCTTTGGATCTCATCTTGGGAGTTGACAGCAACAGATTCCAAATGCAAATAGCACACTTGAAATGAACTCTGGACCTTTTATCTGCTCATTGTAATTGGGATTATGAGGGAATAACACACACCTGGCCATGGAACAGCTGAGAAGCCAATTGTCCCATTACTTTTGGTCCCTTAACAAGTGGGAGGCACATATGCAAACTGTTGTCATTCCTACACCGTTCACACTGATTTGGATATAAATACCCTCAAATTAAAGCTGATAGTCTGCAGTTAAAGCACATCTTGTTTGTTTCATTTCAAATCCATTGTGGTGGTCTATAGAGCCAAAAATGTTAGAATTGTGTCGATGTCCCAATATTTTATGGACCTGACTCTACCATACCTGTGGGATCCCTCTATATCCGGGGTATTGAATTCAATTTCAAGGAGGTACGGTCACTAACGTTTTCTTCCGGCTGAGCTCCGAATCTCAAGTTTGTGCTATGACATCAGAGTGCCCCCTTACATCAAGTATCCCCATCAGAGTGACCCCTTACATCAGGTGTCCACATCACCATGCCCCCTTATATCAGTTCTCCTCATTAGAGTGCCCCATTAGATAAGGTTCCCCCATCACAGTGACACCTTACATAGGGTGTGCCCATCAGAGTACTCCTTTATATTAGGTGTCTCCATCAGAGCGCTTCTTTACATCAGTTGTTCCCATCACAGTGGCACCTTACATCAGGTATTCCTGTCAGGGTACTGCTTTAAATCAGCTGTCCCCATCAGAGTGCCCTCTTACATCAGGTGTCCCCATGAGAGTGATCCCTTACATCAGGTGTCCCCATCAGAGTGCCCCCTTACATCAGGTGTCCCCATCAGAGTGCCCCCTTACATCACGTGTCCAAATCAGAGTGCCCCCTTACATCAGGTATTCCCATCAGAGTGTCCCCTTACATCAGGTATTCCCATCAGAGTGCTCCCCTTACATCATTTGTCCCCATCAGAGTCCCCCTTACATCATTTGTCCCCATCAGAGTGCATAAGAGAGAGCATTACATTAGGTTCCCCCATCAGAGTGACCCTTTACATTAGGTGTCCCCAACACATCAGGTGTGCCCAGCAGAGCACCCCTTTACCTTAGTTGTCCCCATCAGAGCACCCCTTTACCTTAGTTGTCCCCATCAGAGTGCCCCTTTACATCAGGTGTTCCCATCAGAGTCCCCCTTTACATCAGTTGTCCCCATTAGAGTGCCCCTTTACGTCAGATGTGAAATCAATATGCCCCTCTTCCACAATATTGGCCCATCTGAATGTCCCTTAACATAAAGAGTACCCATCAGCATGTCCCTGTAGGTTCCAAGCACACCCCACCTTGAGGCAGACAGGGTGGAGGAGCCGACAAACGCAGTGAGCTGCAGGAGGTGGGGGCTGTTGGGGGCCGGGAACCTTGTGAAGGGGGGTAGGGCATGCACTTGACGTCACAGAGAACCCTTGGAGTGGAAGCCGGGGGATACAGCTGGGGAGGAGGGGGGGTGCACACGTGATGTCATTGATGACTGCTGAGCAGCGAGCATCTGACACTCTAGACTGGCGGGCTCTAGATTACTGTATGGGTCAAACACAAAGCCGAATACGGCCCACTAGGCCACTTCATGTGGTCCTTGCAGCTGTGGCCCCCGGTCTCCTTTCCCACCTTGTCTCAGCAGTTTGCAACAAATCCCACAGAGATGGATAATGACAAAAGGCATTCATATTTAATAAGAACATTTTTTATCAGTCCAAAAAAAAGAAACATGAAAATCTAATCCCAGAATCTCGGATCCCCAGACACGACACAGATGTGGCCATCTCCATTCATTTATTCATGAAGGTATAGAACCATCTTCAGAGGCTTTCCACGGCACCCTCTACGAGACGTTTCATCTGGTGTCACAAAGAGCTGACACGCGTTTCATCTCTCGGGTTATTTGATCGCCCCGGCAGTGAAGACGACGTCACTCCGTCGTCATGTCGGATTCATAGGAAACCAAGGTGGAAAAAACCTTCAATCAAGTCGTCAGACATTTCCTCAGAGATGGTTTGGAGACCATCTCAGTCTTTGATACATGAGGGCCACTTGCAGATGAAGATTTCACACACAGTAATCGTCAGCGGGGGATAAAGTCACCAAAGGGTACCTGAGCAAGGACAACTTTCGGGGGGCTCCCACTTAACTACTGGCTAAGTATAAAAAAAGTAAAGTGTACCCCAACAATTAACTTTTCCTATGTTCCTTTTTTAATCTTTTAACCCCTTCCAGTCCGAACACTTTCCCCCCCTTCCAGTCCGGACACTTTTCTCCCCTTCCAGTCCGGACACTTTCCCCCCTTCCAGTCCGGACACATTCCTCCCCTTCCAGTCCGGACACTTTCCCCCCCTTCCAGTCCGGACACTTTCCCCCCCTTCCAGTCCGGACACATTCCTCCCCTTCCAGTCCGGACACATTCCTCCCCTTCCAGTCCGGACACTTTCACCCCCCTTCCAGTCCGGACACATTCCTCCCCTTCCAGTCCGGACACTTTCCCCCCCTTCCAGTCCGGACACTTTCCCCCCCTTCCAGTCCGGACACATTCCCCCCCTTCCAGTCCGGGACACTTTCCCCCCTTCCAGTCCGGACACTTTCCCCCCTTCCAGTCTGGACACTTTCCCACCTTCCAGTCCGGACACTTTCCCCCCCCTTCCAGTCCGGACACTTTCCCCCCCTTCCAGTCCGGACACTTTCCCCCCCTTCCAGTCCGGACACTTTCCCCCCCTTCCAGTCCGGACACTTTCCCCCCTTCCAGTCCGGACACTTTCACCCCCTTCCAGTCCGGACACTTTCACCCCCTTCCAGTCCGAACACTTTCACCCCCTTCCAGTCCGGACACTTTCCCCCCCCCCTTCCAGTCCGGACACTTTCCCCCCCCCTTCCAGTCCGGACACTTTCCCCCCCCCTTCCAGTCCGGACACTTTCCCCCCCCCCCTTCCAGTCCGGACACTTTCCCCCCCTTCCAGTCCGGACACTTTCCCCCCTTCCAGTCCGGACACTTTCCCCCCCTTCCAGTCCGGACACTTTCCCCCCTTCCAGTCCAGGCCAATTTTCAGCTTTCAGCGCTGTCGCACCTTGAGTGACAATTACGCGGTCATGCAACACTGTACCCATATGAATTTTTCAGCATTTTTTTTGAGACAGATAAAACTTTATTTTGGTGGCATTTATTCACCAGTTTTTTTTTGCTATATAAATGAAAAAGTCCAAACATTTTGAAAGAAGTGTTTTGCAAATAAAATTAATTATTTCATCATAAATCTTGGCCAAAATGTATTCAGTTATCTTTTTAGTAAAAAAAAAAAAAAAACGGGAATTAGTTTATAACCAAAAATTATAATTTTTCAAAAAAATGTTTTACATTTTTTTTTTTTTTTTTATATTATTATTTATGTTTTTTTTTTTTTTTTGGATAGCATAAGGAAGGGGTTAACACCCATGTAACACTGGTAGATAGATAGATAGATAGATAGAGATAGATAGATAGATAGATAGATAGATAATAGATAGATAGATAGATAGATAGATAGATAGATAGATAGATAGATAGATAATAGATAGATAGATAGATAGATAGATAGATAGATAGATAGATAGATAGATAGATAGATAATAGATAGATAGATAATAGATAGATAGATAGATAGATAGATAGATAGATAGATAGATAGATAGATAGATAGATAGATAGATAGATAGATAGATAGATAGATAGATAATAGATAGATAGATAGATAGATAGATAGATAAGATAGATAGATAGATAGATAGATAGATAGATAGATAGATAGAGATAGATAATAGATAGATAGATAGATAGATAGATAATAGATAGATAGATAGATAATAGATAGATAATAGATAGATAGATAGATAGATAGATAGATAGATAGATAGATAATAGATAGATAGATAGATAGATAGATAGATAGATAGATAGATAGATAATAGATAGATAGATAGATAGATAGATAGATAGATAGATAATAGATAGATAGATAGATAGATAGATAATAGATAGATAGATAGATAGAAAGATAGATAGATAGATAATAGATAGATAGATAGATAGATAGATAGATAGATAATAGATAGATAGATAATAGATAGATAATAGATAGATAGATAGATAGATAATAGATAGATAGATAGATAGATAGATAGATAGATAGATAGATAGGATAGATAATAGATAGAAAGATAGATAGATTAGATAGATAGATAGATAGATAGATAGATAGATAGATAGATAGATAGATAGATAGATAGATAGATAGAAGATAGATAGATAGATAGATAGATAGATAGATAGGATTTGATTGAGGAGATGATTACAACGCTGAATGGATCCTCATTATGATCCTGGGCACCAATCTTGGAATCATTGACTTATATGGTTTCATGGCATCCGGATAGTTTTGGCAGCTATAAATTCAATGGAGGAGGTTGGGGTCATCATGCTAACATTTTGCACAGGTCATCATATACCAAAGACTGGCTTCCCTCACATATATTGACAGTCACAAGGTCCAGGTGAATAAGCATAGATAAGGAATATAGTGCAGCTAGTAATCCTCATCAGGATTATGGCACCAATCTTGGAATCATTGACTTATATAGTTCCATGGTGTCCAGATAGATTGGCAGATATAAATCCGATGGGGAAGGTTGAGGTATCATGGCAACTTTTTGCACAGGTCATCACATGCCAAAGACTGGACTTCCCTCCCTTATATTGAGCGTCACAAGGTCCAGATGAGTAGACGTGACTAACGGTGTCTATAGAGCCGCGACAACATTCTCTGCCTCTGGGTCCTCCTGCCTTGGATGTGGAGGACGAGGAAGACTACAATAGTGATGAAGACCGAGGAGAGACGACTGCTGAAGATTGATCCAGGCTGAGGTGGGAATATCGACACCACTGCTGTTGTTGGAACAAATACACTGTCTTTCCAACAATGGTGTGCCCTGTCCGCGGTGACCACATTCTCCAGACCTGAAATGAGAGATGACATTTCTGAAAAATATACATATAGATCCGCAAGAGTTCTTTCTGTCATATCAGAACCTTCTACTAAGGCCACCAGGAGTGAGCAAGCTTAAAATGGTAACTACCAGCTATGCTGCTGCATAAAGGTGTATACAATGCAGTGATGCACACGTGTTTTATGTGGCCCATAACTCAATGCCTAATGGCGCCACTGACCCTGACCCAACCAGAGGCCGCCCACCGACACTTTTCACCTGAGCTGAAATTCCTTCAAATTTAGCATCAAATTCAGATTTTACTTAGGCCACGATTGCGTGGAAAAAAAATGCATGGCTTGGTTAGAAAACAAGGTAATGATGGAGAGCAAGCAATTAGCAGGGTTACAGGGAGGTTTATGTTACAGGAGGGTTAATGTAAGAGTTAGGGCAGCACATGGGGGGTGGGGTGAGGGTTAGGATTGGGAGGGGGGGGGGTTAGTGTTATGATTACAGGAGGATTAGTTTTAGGATTGCAGGGAGGGTTAGTGTTAGGATTACGGGGGGGGGGGGGTTAGTGTTAGGATTGCAGGGAGGGTTAGTGTTAGGATTACGGGAGGATTAGTGTTAGGATTACAGGAGGATTAGTTTTAGGATTACAGGGAGGGTTAGTGCTAGGATTGCAGGGACAGTTAGTGTTAGGATTACGGGGGGGGGGGGGTTAGTGTTAGGATTACAGGGGGGTTAGTTTTAGGATTACAGGGGGGGGTTAGTGTTAGGATTACAGAGTGGATAGGTTTTAGGGTTACAGGTTTGATTAGTGTTGGGGATTACAGGAAGAATTAGTGTTAGGATTGCAGGGCCGGTTAGTGTTAGGATTACAGGGGGGGGGGGGGTAGTGTTAGGATTACAGGGGGGTTAGGATTAAAGGGAGGATTAGTTTTAGGATTACAGGGAAATTAGTGTTAGGATTACAAGGGGGTTAGTGTTAGGGTTACAGGGGGGGTTAGTGTTAGGATTACGGGGGGGGGGTTAGTGTTAGGATTACAGGGGGGGTTAGTGTTAGGATTACAAGGGGGGGTTAGTGTTAGGATTACAGGGAGGATTAGTGTTAGGATTACAGGGAGAGGTTAGTGTTAGGATTACAAGGGGGGGTTAGTGTTAGGATTACAAGGGGGGTTAGTGTTAGGGTTACAGGGGGGGTTAGTGTTAGGATTACAAGGGGGGTTAGTGTTAGGATTACAGGGAGGATTAGTGTTAGGATTACAGGGAGAGGTTAGTGTTAGGATTACAGGGAGAGGTTAGTGTTAGGATTACAAGGGGGGTTAGTGTTAGGATTACAGGGAAGATAGGTTTTAGGATTACAGGTTTTATTAGTGCTAGGATTGCAGGGAGAGTTAGTGTTAGGATTGCAGGGAGGGTTAGTGTTAGGCATTGGCATCTCTAATATACATTGACATCTCTAGTATCCATGTTAGCATTAGCTAACATTACTACAATATAAAGTATATTGTGCATCATGCGGAGAAAACCGACCAATACTACTGATCCCCACATATGCCTCAAGAGACCCCGGGGTCCCCCGCCTATATGTGGGTATCGGTGGTATTGGTAGTTTTTTTCCCCCTCTAGTCATGACGTACATTATACCCTGATGGTAATATGGATACTAGAGATGCCAATGCATATTAGAGATGGCAGCGTATGGTTTGATATTCTATTCTATTAATGTATGCTTTCCGTTATGCAGTGTCTGGATTGAGTTTGTGGTTTCCTGAAGAAGCACAGAAACGAAACATGTTGAAACCATGAATTATGAACAGTTCCGTGTATCCACTATCGGGGATAAGTGAAGCCTCTGCCAGGGTGTTGGGCAGTATGTTTTAAGAGTATTATACCTCTAGTTATCATTGTCACTGATTTTAATGTTGTTTGTATAAAAATGTTTGTAATAAATATTGGCTTTTATGTTTCTGTTGTATTTGATTAATGACACCTTAATAGTCCCATTCTGCTCCTTTTTTTGGTTTTTATTATAAAGGGATGTGGTGCCTGATTTTGGCTATCCCTTGTAAGGTCACAATTGATACAACGAGGGTTACAGCTAGGGTTATAGGAAGGGTTGGAGTTATTGGGAGGGTTGGAGTTAGGGTTATAGGAAGGGTTGGAGTTAGGGTAATAGGGAGGGTTGGAGTTGGAGTTATAGGAGAGGGTTGGAGTTGGGGTTATAGGAAGGGAGGGTTGGAGTTATAGGAAGGGTTGGAGTTGGGGTTATAGGGAGGGTTGGAGTTGGAGTTATAGGGAGGGTTGGAGTTGGGGTTATAGGGAGGGTTGGAGTTATAGGGAGGGTTGGAGTTGGGGTTATAGGGAGGGTTGGAGTTGGGGTTATAGGGAGGGTTGGAGTTATAGGGAGGGTTGGAGTTGGGAGTTATAGGGAGGGTTGGAGTTATAGGGAGGGTTGGGTTGGGGTTATAGGGAGGGTTGGAGTTATAGGGAGGGTTGGAGTTGGGGTTATAGGGAGGGTTGGAATATTCTCACACTTATAAATATACTAAAAGTGCTTCAGTTGATACATAAATAATATTATATCAAATAAATATATCTGTGACTTATAAAAAATAAATAAGATAATATTATAAATTAATCAAGATCATAATCTGTGGTGATACATATCACATGTGATCAATTAATCAATATTGTGCAAATACATAAGTGGCTGTATATAAATTAATAAAGTGCATAAATAAAGTCTCTTATAAATATGTGCAAGTGTGTTCCTTTTCCTCCCTCCAGGTGCCGTGTTATCTCAATA